CCGCCAACCCAGACAATGGCGACCACAGATATTGTTCTGTCCCTTCTCGGACAGGTCTAGGGGTTCCACTCCATTAAGACCCCATCGCCCCTGGAAAATCCCCCGTCTCTCAGCTTGCATTTGACATCTCCACCTCCTTGTCCAATCAGCTCTCCACCTTCAACTCTCAAACAACATGATTGGTCCTCAGGCCATGCATCCTTTATTTTCTCTTACCGAAGTTCTCATAAAGTCATGACCACTCACCCCATTCTTCTCGAATCCAATAACAAAGAGCCAGGAAACAATAAGTCAGGCGTCAACAGATATCTGAAGCAAATCCACGTCTCTTTCAGAGTCCAGCTCCTCCCTGCTTTGCCAGGAATGCACTACTGTGTTTGGACCCGCACACCCAGCTCCCTCTCTGTCCTATCTCTCACCCACTTCTCCTCTGAATGGGGTCTACTCTCCTTATTGGCTCGCTCCCATCCTATCCAAATCTGGACCAGTCCTTGTGGGAAGACACACCAGATCAGGCAGTCGGCGGAAATGCACACATTGCAAAGACACCCCTCAGCTCACTGTCTTAGGACTCCTCCCCTCTGCGGCCCTCCTGTGACCAAGGCATCCTCGTTTTAACAAACACTTTCCTCGTCCATTGCAGAAAATCAGCCCCCCAGTTTATGTGTATTGTTCATCTTAAGCCATTATGTAATCTCAGCTGTTACTAGTGAATCATAAGTGCTCAAATATTATGTCCCATTATTTCAAAAGACTACTGAAAATTAGGAATGCATAGCTAACGTTATATCCAAAATACAGCAAAGGAATATAAAAGTTTATATGTGCGCTGATTTTTTATTCTGATCTGAAAACTAGGAAAATAGAAACATAAGTTAATACACATACACAAAACGTCACCTAAACACTCAATAAACGGTAATAGCCCTGTTATACAGATAGTTCTAATCTAACAGTATATCCATTCATTCTCCTAAAAGAAGTCACCATTTCTTCTCTGAAAAATAAGAAGAAAATTTAGGACCGCTAAAATGCAACCACAATTTGAAGGCAGAACTACCAGCCTGAAAACGCATAATCACTTACCGATGGGCACATAAATTGTTCAGGTGGAGTCCATACTTCTCTTCAGCAGATAACCCATCCATCAACAAGGAAAAGATGAGAAAATTGCTCTGGCCAAGAGGTTGTGAAACAAGTCTGGATTTCTCTAGCATATATGTATAAATTCTGGCTGGTTAAGAAAAGAAAAGGGATTCTGTCAAATGGCATTATTAGTTTCATTTCCATAAATTTACACAGATTAATTAGAAGAAATAATAATGGAGCTTCTTTCCAAGCACAGACCTCTTAAAAACAAAATAATAGACATTATTTTTAGAGAAATTTTTCAAGTCCAGAAAAATTAAGCAGAAAGTACTGAGAGTTCCAACATACCCTCTCTCTCCCCTCCCTCACACGCTGTTTACACTATTATTAACATCTTGCACTAGAGTGGTACATATGTTAAAATGAATGAACCAATATTGATACACTATTATTAACTCAAGTCCGTAGTTTACATTGGCATTCGCTCTTGGTGTTGTACATTTCTATGGGGTTTGAGAAATTTGCATGTCATGTGTGCACCGTTACAGTATCATACAGAATAGTCTGCCCTAAAAATCAGTGAACCACCTACTCACCCCTCCCTCTCCCCCAACCCCTGGTAACCAATGATCTTTTTACTGTCTCTATAGTTTTGCCTTTTCCTGAACGTCATATAGCTGGAATCACACAGTATGTGCCCCTTTCAGATTGGTTTCTTTCACTTAATAATATGTATTGAAAGTTGCTTTTTTGGTCTTTTCTGGCTTCATAGCCCATTTTTTATTAGTGAATACTATTCCATTGCATGAATATACTACAGTTTGTTTATCCATTCAGCTATTAAAAAACATCTTGAAAGATGTGAAAAAAATAAAATAAAATAAAATAAAAAATAAAAACATCTTGGTTGCTTCTCGTTTTCGCAATTATGAATAAAGCTGCTATAAACATTTATGTCTCCACTGCGTGCAGATGTGGTTTTCAACTCAGTTGAGTAAATGTCAAGGAATGTGATTCCCAGATCATATGGTAAGAATATGAACAGCTTTGTAAGAAACTGCCAAACTATCTTCCAAAGTGGCTGCACCCTTTTGCGTTCCCATAAGCAATAAATCAGAGTTCCTGTTGCTCCAGATCCTTGCCAGTACTTGTTGTTGTTGGTGTTTTGGATTTTAGCCATCCTAACAGGTGTGCAGTGGTATTTCATCCTTGTTTTAATTTGCATTTCCTAGATGACGTATAACGTGGAACATCTTCTCAGGTGCTTATTTCCATTTGTCTGTCTTCTTTGGTGAGATGTCCATGAAGATATTTTGCCCATGTTTAAAACTGAGTTGTTTTCTTACTGTTGAATATTAAGAGTTCTCCATATATTTTAGACAATTTTTTATCAGATATGTCTTCTGCAAATATTTTCTCCTGGCCTATGGCTCATCATTTCATTCTCTTAACAGTATCTTTCACAGAACAGAAATTTTGAATTTTAATGAAGTTTAGATTATCAATTATTCCTTTCATGGATTGTGCTTTTAGTGTTGTATCTGAGAAGTTATTGCCGGGCTTCCCTGGTGGCGCAGTGGTTAAGAATCCGCCTGCCAATGCAGGGGACACGGGTTCGAGCCCTGGTCCGGAAAGATCCCACATGCCACGGGGGCAACTAAGCCCGTGCGCCACAACTACTGAGCCTGTGCTCTAGAGCCCGTGAGCCACAACTACTGAGCCACGAGCCACAACTACTGAAGCCCGCGTGCCTAGAGCCCGTGCCCCGCAGCAAGAGAAGCCACTGCAGTGAGAAGCCCACGCACCACAACGAAGAGCAGCCCCTGCTCACCCCAACTAGAGAAAGCCCACGCGCAGCAACGGAGACCCAACGCAGCCAAGAATAAAATAAATAAATTTATTAAAAAAAAAAAAAAAAGTCACTGCCAAACCCACAGTCATGTAAAATTTCTCCTCTATTCTCTTTTAAAAGTTTTATAGTTTTGTTTTTACATTTAGATTTATGATCTATCTGAGCTATTTTTGGTGATATCTTTGTGCCTACATTCGTGGTTTTTTTGCCTGTGGATGTTCTGTTTTTCCAGCATAGTTAGTTGAAAAGACTATCCTTTCTCTATTGAATTGCCTTCACTCCTTTGTCAATGATTAGTTGACTATGTTTCTGTGGGTCTATTTCTGTGGTCTCTATTGGTGTTCCATTGAGCTATTTGTCTATTTTTTCACCAGTGCTACTGAATCACTGTCTTGATTACTGTAGCTTTACAGTAAGTCTTAGAGTTGGGTAGGGCCAGTCCTCCAATTTTCTTCTTCTTTTTCTGTGTTGTGCTGGCTATTCTGGATCTTTTAACTCTCCATACAAACCTTCTGCCAATATCCACAAAGTAACTCAGGGATTTTTATTGGAATTGTGCTGCATCTATAGATCAAATTGGGAAGAACGGATATCTTAACAATACCGAGTCTTCATAGCCTTCCTATCCATTGGACATTGAGTGTCTCACCATTCAGATCTTCTTTGCTTTCTTTCATCAATGTTTTGTGGTTTTCCTTATGATGATCATGTGCATATGTTGCTAAATTTATACTTAGGTATTTTTGTTTTGGTGCTAATGGAAACGGTGCTGTGTTTTTAATTTCAAATTCCAGTTGTTCACTGATGATATATAGGAAAGCGATTGACTTTTGTATATTAACCTTATACCCTGAAACTTTGCCACAATCACTCATTAGTTCCAGGAGTTTTTGTTGTTGTTGCTGTTGATGATGATTCTTTTGGATTTCTAAAATCAAATCAACAAAGACAGCTTGATTTCTTCCTTCCCAATATGTGTACCTTTGTTTTTTTTTTTTCTTTATCTTATTACATTAGCTAGGATTTCCAGTATGATGCTGAAAGAGAGTGGTGAGAGGGGACATTCCTACCTTGTTCCTGACCCAACGTATACTTTTGTGCACAAGTATAATCTGAAACAAGACATGTCCTTGCCTATAACAAAGCCACCAAAGTAAGTATTAGAATTTTCTTGATTAATGTCTCAAAATTTGCAGGTACATATTGCTCGGGTATATATCACTAGACATTGATTTTAAATGCTCTGCTGTAGACATTAGCAAGAATTACTGTCAAACAGCTCAGAAGGTTTTTATAGCTGCACTAATAGGACAAGAGATACGGACAATGGTCTTTCACTGCTGGAAACACTGGAAGAAACTCACTGCAGCAAAGGCAAATACTATGTGAATTCATGAAGATACAATTTAATATACAGAATGGTACTAAGGTTTCAAGACCTAATATACTGGAATTATAAGAGGGAGCTAAATCGTGGTTTGTAGTGCAGTGGTAGATAATGATACTGGTCCTTCAACAATAAAGTTTACATTCTAGTCAGGGAGGAAATAAGTAATGTGTCTGTAAGCAATGCAGGCACAATGTGAATAGTGTCCAGTCATCTTCCTGGTTTATTGTGACCTCACACGTATTAGTAGGACTCATATCAAGGATTCATTATTTGCTCCTCTGCCTTTAAACATCACAAAAGCAAAAGAAAAAATAACCCACATCGTAAATACATGTTGAAATTTCGTTCATAGTACGTGAGAAATGAGGAAAGGATGCAATTTGGGAATCACAACCCCAGTTTTGCTTCAAAGATAGGACTGGAAATTCAGAATCTAGTGTTAATCAGAACTTAGGACCATATATTTGGCATGCTGAAAATCCTACTGTTTCTGGAGTATTGTTTTATTTGAGTTTAGGTTTATTCTTATCATTATGAATGGTCAGTAAACAGTTATGTACTTGAATTTTAAATGCAACTGTGAATTACTATAGTTTTCCACTTTGAAGTAAGAATTCATGGTCGATAATTTTGGGGATCAAAAAAATAGCAGTTTTAGGAAGGAAAATGAATTTAATTTTTCCCTCCATTTGAACTATAAACCAAATTTTGTGTAATGAGTCTACTGCTAATTATTCCAGAGTCCAGCCTCTGAAAGCAAAAAATGTGAGGTCTCCCAATTTGGGTTTTACATAGCAAATCTACTTGAACAAATGGAACCACTATTGCAGTGCTTTGTTCCTATAAATTTTGTAAGTGGTCAATTTAGTCAGTCAGAATGATGATCAGTGCTTAAAATAAAATCTCAAAATTAATAAACCTTATTAAGAAAAGTTGTCTCATTAGACACCTTCTAGAAAAGTTATCAAAAGTGCATAAAGAAAGACTCTTTCAAAATACCCCTTCAATTAGTGGCATTAAAGCCAGAAGGAGATGGTAAAATTAGAATGAGGTGGTGTGGTTTCTTTTCCATTTCTCCATGAGTATTTAATCAGGTGGTCATTTCGAATTGAGGTCTTAATTATTCAATTTTCTCTCCTACTTTTTCCTTCTTAAGCAAAATGCTGAAAACATGTTCCATTTGTTATTGATAATATTAACCCTGAAGTAATTAACTGCTCAAGAGAATATTTCTAAAAATCTGTACACATAGGAAATAAACTGTCATAGCTGTCCCCACTGCTATTTTCTGGTCACCAACTAACGGAATATCAGGTGAAAATGGAGGGCTAAGTGGCGACCTTCTGACCATCAAGCTTCTATACTCAGAGAAAAGACTGACCTTATGCCCACTTGTTCAAGCCAACACACAAGCTTAATTTAAAGCAGCATTCAGAACTAATCAAATTCCACATCACAGAGTGACTTCAATACCTTTCATCTTTCAAAAACAGTAACATCCTAGTTAGCTCATCTCCAGCAGTGAATAATATTGCTGTGGATTAGAATTTTGATCAGTAGGTTTTTTTTTTTAAAGTCCATCTTTAAGGAGATTTTAGATGGAAGAAAACAACCAAAAATTCAAAACAACCAAAAATTCAAATTTCTGTGAGACTCTAATATTCTTCTGAATGGGGAAAATGCAGGCCTTTCTGCTGTGTTTAAAATCAAACTGGAATAATGGAAGGAAAGTGATAGGTTTTGAAGTTAAAAATGTTTCTGACTCATTCAGGCAAGTGTCCATGCACAGAAAGTTTCTACTAATTTCTTGATTTCTGAAGACTTGTACATTTCTTTAAAATATTTTATGTCAGAAATATTCTTGACTGCAAGTAAACTTGTGATCCTCCATCTTTCCAGAAAT